TGGCTTATGTAAACACATAATTAGAGGGCTAGCATATCCTCGGTCTTTGGTGTTTTCACTCTACCTGCCAGGGCCCAGCCCTAGAGATAGATTCAACAGACTCTTCTCTTGTAAATATTTGCAGTCGATGCATACCATGTGCGCGGTGTATGTGAGACTATCACACTGAACTCCATTAAGATGTACAATGAATAGCTCCTGAGATGACGGAGTAAAGTGTCTGCCATGCAAGTGTAAGGACTTGAACTGGGAACTCAGGCACCCATGTAAACCAAACATGTGACTATAACTCCAGCACTCGGAAGGTGGAAACAGGTGGATCTCAAGCTCCTTGGCAGCCAGTAGAGCCAGTAGAGGACCAGGTTCAGTGGATAAGATGAGGGCTGGGAAGATAAGGCAGGGGTTAGGATCACTGGAGGCTCTTGCAGAGGAGCCTAGTTCAGTTCCCAGCACCTACATGCCTGCTCACAACTGTCCACTCCTGGGGATCTGACACCTTCTGACCTCTGAGGGTTCCAAATGTTCATGGAACACCTACATAAAAAATACTAAATATTTTTAAATCCTTTTTTTTTTGACAGAGTATTTTGATGTGAAACATTATTATTTAACAGCTTCACAGCCTTCATAGCTAAGAATTTAACCTAAGTCTTCAAGCCTCTTGCACACAACTGTAACATAGTCAAGGGGGCGGGGAGTGTTATTGGCAGTGTTTCCTTCTGGTTTGTGTGTGTGTGTGTGTGTGTGTGTGTGTGTGTGTGTGTGTGTGTGTGTCTGAAGGAGTCTTGCTATGTACCCTAGATTGGCTTCAAACTCACAGTCCTCCTGCCTCAGCCTCTTGAATACTAGGGTTACAGGTAGGTAACTATTACATCATACACAGCAACAGTAGTATCTTGACATCTAATACAAACAGATTATGGGCATCTAATCTTAAATCTTTTTTAAAAATAAAGTTGAAAGAGATTGAGGAGTCCCCTGAATCAGCCTTTGGCCTCCACACACTCACAAGTGTGAACATACACACAGCACACACACGGAAATATGTACATTCATTTCTACATACATCTGTACACACACATACATCTACACACTCACAAGTGTGAGCACACACATACACACACATTCACCAACTATGAGCACACACATACCACACACACACATACATCTACACCCTCACAGGCATGTGCACACAAGCATATATCTACACACTCCCAAGTGTGCACATACGCAAACAACTAATAAGAGTTGATTCCAAACATTTTTTTAAGGAAAGGAAGGAAAAAGCCAAATGACTACAGTCTCTCTCTGCTTCATAGCTCTTCTGGTTAGTTGACAGGAGCAGAATTCCTCAGCAGGGCAGACACAGATCCATGTATGATTGGGCAGATGCTTCGAAGGAAAATCACTGCACCTTTCAGGGGCCCCAGCCCACCTCACAGCTTAGCTCCCTGGGAATCAGCAATGAATTAAGAGGTCAGCTTGGTAATTCTTAGGGCTAAGCCTTTGTAACTATAAATAAATACATAGAATAAAAGGAATGCACAAAAGAAAAAACAACAGGGAGAAAGGGGAAATGAAAAGCCTGACTTGGTTTCATTAAATTAGTTTGCAAACGCCCCTATGTAGTGACTTCATCAATACCCAGGAGAATTCTTCCAAACCCATGGTCTTAGCCAGCTCTTGGTGTGCGCGTTCGGCTGAAAGTCAGTAGTCCTAGGAAGCTGGATGAGGAGATAATGCAGAGTGATTTTTGTGTGCTCCTGTCAAGCAGGAAGAGTGAGCCTGAAGGTCTGGCTGGCTGAGCCTTTCCCCTGAGGAGGGAACACACCATTGGCATGGAAAGGGTCCTAGCAAGGATGGGGACAAAGCTAGTGCTAAAGAGAGCCTCAGAAATCTTTCCTAAATCACCACATGGATCACTTAAATGCTCTGGACTTGTCCCTCCAGATGCAAAGGTTTGGTCCTGCTGAAATGTCATCAGTGGGCCCATGTGAGTTAGAGCGCACCATCGGGAATGCTGGGATGGGGAAAGCTGTATTTTATTGGCTTTTTCCTCCCGTGGTTTTCACCATCTGTTTCTTTAACTGCATAAACAAGGGAAAATGACTGGTTTGGAATGCAAAGTTTTAAACACCAGATGACCACAGGCATCCTCCAAATGAGAAAGAGACAGCAAGTTGGGGGTTCTGTGACATTTGTCAGGAAGTGGAATGGTAAATACCAAGAAGCCTGTGTGTGCCCTGCCAGGGAAGGGCCACAAAAGCAAGGGATGGCTTGGTCCCCAGCCCTTTCTAAGGGTCATGCCCTGCCTGCTTTCCCCAAACCACACTCAGACACCAGCACTGCCCCCTCTACCTCCCTACCCAAGCCCCATTTTCAAAATAAAAGATGAAGAGGGATGCAGGGCTTCAACTTAATGAGCATTAGTTCACTAGCATCCTGAAGTTGGCAGCTTGGCACAGAACCCACTCTTAGAAGCTTCCACACTCAACAATAGCTGGGTTGTGTGCATGTTCTATTGCGAAGCTAAATAGACAGTTACAAACAGACCGGCTACAAGATCTTCATATCTCTCTTGCACAATGGTAAGTGCAAAAAAAAAAAAAAAAAAAAAAAAAACCTAAAAAAACCTAAAAAAAACCATACAAGGGCATCAAAAGACTTTAGAAAACGGCCCCTTGCTTTATGAAGGCATATTTGCTGTGCACAATACAATGGCTGCTTCATAAAATGGTTCCGTCACTCCATGCCAACAAACTTAAAGCGCTACGTTCCTTTTCTAAACCCAGACAATGGAGAGAGACTGGATGGAAATGTTTGCTGCATACTAATCTCTTTTACCTTCAGTGCAAGAAACAATCAGTTGTAAGCATCAGGCATTTTAGACAAAACTGAACAGGGAGGGTTTGGAGACCCTGGGGTACGGACCCTGGTACATTTGGCTGTGTTCCACTTGCTTCAGCTTACGACGGACATGGAACATTTTTCACATAGTTTTGTAGGCAGCCTGACGCCAGAGTTTTCACGTAAAAGGATGAAAGATGAGGGCCTCCTGGGAACTGACAGATCTTCCTAATTTTTGGTGTCGTTCTCAAAGACACAGTGAGCAGTTTTAGACATGGACACTGTAAATGGCTTGGTAGTAGGGAGTCAAGCAAAAATAAGACTGTGGCAATTTGCAAGCCCTGAGAAGATTAAATCAATTAAGCTGGAATAGTGTTTCTATCCTGCTTAAAATTACCCAATGCAGTACATAGCAGAACATAGGAGCTGGCAGTGGGTAAAGTGTTGCTGTACAAATGAGAGGATCTGAATTCAGATCCGCAACGCATATGGAAAAGCCAGGTGTAGTGGCACGTGCCTATGACCCCAGGGAAGGTATGGGCACTGGGAAAGGCACATCCCAGGGCTTCACAAGCCAGCTAGTCTAACCAAGTGGTGAGCTCCCCGTCAGTGAAGAGATGGCATCTTAAACAAACAAATAAATAAACAGGTAAATGAGAGAAAGATACATGAAGTTGGTCAACCCCTGCTCTCCACATATGCACATACCAGAGTGTGTATTCACATAGACACACATAAAAGAAGGGATGGAGGGAGGAAGGGAAGGAGAGAGGGAGGGAGGGACAATGGGAAGTAAGCAGGCTAGCCCACTAGGTGAGATTCATTCTGCTAACTTTGGCTCCAGATGCCAGCGTCCATGGTGAATCTATTTGATTTCTACAACTGCAGAATGTAAGTGCTTTGGGGGATATTTGCTTCCCTGATGTAAATGGGGAAATGATTAGAGATTAGAGGTCAGAACACTTCAAAGTAGAAAGTCCTGAGGGCTTCCTCACCAACGAGGTTTATCCTCTGCAGTATGGGTTCCACGTCAGAGGAGACAACCAGCCGCACATCAAAACTATTTAGGAAATAATTGCATCTGCAGTGAACGTGTTTAGACTTGTGTTCCCAAACAATACTGTCTACCATCTATTGACTTAGTCTTTGTAAAGCACTATAGACCATAAAGTAATACAGAGAGGGTTTTAAAGTGCCAGATGATGTATGGAGGTTTCATGCAAAACACCACACCCCATAGACTTGAGCATCCAGGAACTTTGGTCCCAATCTCCTATAGACACTGAGGGGAACTGGGTCTCCCCTGTTTCATAAACTAGAGTGAGTGCTCCCAGGCAGCTATAAGAACTAGGCTGCTCAGCAGTGGCACTGTGAAAGGACTAGAGTGACCCATGGAATTTCAGTCATAATCACAGTAATAATGTCAGACGAAGAGGCATACTGGGGAAGATATGAGAGGAATTTCAAGCGGCCAAACTATTTGTATTATGTACTTTACAAAAGCTTTGGAGCCTTTTCTAAACTGGAGAGCTCTGCTTCTGCCACTCCAAAAGGATCAGCTTAAGACTTTCATTATTCTATCTTATGGGACTTGTTGAGTTTTGTGTATGTGAATGAATGTTTTACCTGCATGTATGTATATATGTATGTGCCACACATGTTCCTGGTGCTGTTGGAGGCCGGAAGAGGGGATCAGTGCTCTAGGACTGGAGATACAGACGGTGGTGAGCTGCCGTGGTGGGTGCTGGGAACTCATCCCAGGTCCTCTGTAAGGGCAGCAAGTGCCCTGAACCACTGAGCCCTCTCTCCAGCCTGTGTCATAGTTTATGTGATATAAGACAACTTTATATCTCCTTGACTATAAGGAATTGTGATTCTATGGTTGAACTTTGGTAGAATTTTTGGGAGATCCTTAAGAAATAAAATAATGATATTTCAGACACTTCCTACATATTCTGACCTTGTTGTGTCTTCATGTCTTTTTCTCCCTCTCGCCCTCCATTTCTTCCTTTTGTTCCATCCTTCCTTCCTTTTGTCTTCTTTCTTTCCTTTCTGTGGGGAATTTATTAGGGACGGGTGCCTGATTATAAGCTGAGAGGTCTGCTGAGGACTCGGGGTTGTCATTTGACATCTCTGTGTATTTTCATCCACAGGTGATCACCCCAGTGAGGACAGGTCAAGGCTATGTGTACGAGTACCCATCCAGATTCCAAAAGGATGTCTACGATGTCCCTCCTTCCCACACTGCTCAAGGGGTAGGCAATGGGAACCACCAGGGGGGCTGGCCTTGCGGGTAGCGTGTCTTCAGGGCCACACAGGAGAATTACCAGTCACAACCTCATCATGTGGAGCTCTGAGCTGCCTGTCCAGGGACTGTGTCCTTTGAATTGTGTTACTGGGTTTGCCTGACCAGAAAGTCTAGTCTTCCATCTGAGAAATGTTGCATTATCGGTCTGTCAACTTATTTCTGGAAGTGAGCAATTTAAATTATAAAGCAAATAGTTCACGTAAGATCGTTTTCATATTCGCTCAAAATCAAAGAATGCAAAACTTCTAAAGGAAACTTCCATAAACCCCTGATGGCATGGGGTGCTGTTAAAAACCAAGTCTTGTACGACCTGATAAATAAATCCATAAGGAAACAGTAGCAAGAGAAGTAATACCATCCTGGGTAACTCAAGTGTTTCTCTTCAGGTATATGACATCCCTCCTTCGTCAATGAAAGGACCTGTGTTTTCAGTACCAGTGGGAGAGATAAAACCTCAAGGGGTATATGACATCCCCCCTACTCAAGGGGTAAGTGAGCTGGAGAAGCACTGGGCATGGATGAGTATCTCCGAGTGTGTGGTGCAGTGGTGATGGGTATTAATTTATCGGGATAAAATAAGAATGGCATACTCCAAAAAACAAAAACCATCTTCATGGGGGAAGGGGAGGAAGAGGGAAGGAAGCAAGGGGGAGAGGACACAATTAACCACAAATTTATAATTGTAAGTTTATAACCCTAAAATATCAAGATGTCAATAATGAGAGTCAATCGGAAGGGAAGAGAGTGAATTCAGTTTTCAATATCTATACATCTCATTTTTCTAGAAGGGTCTACAGCAGTGGTTCTCAACCTCTCTAATGTTGTGACCCTGTAATACAGTTGCTCATGTTGTGGTGACACCCAACAATAAAATTATTTTCATTGCTACTTCATTGCTTTAACTTTGTTACTGTTATAAACTGTATATATGCAAGATATCTGATGTGTGACCCTGTGAAAGGGTCGTTCACCCCCGAAGGGGTCATGACCCACAGGTTGAGAATCGTTGGTCTACAGCTCCCTCAGTTCGCATATAAGAGGTAGTTCATTTGGTTTTGTTATTCTCTAAGAGTACCCACACTTCAAATCCAGCTAGCTTCGCTGAGCAGATAGGGAACTGTGCCTCTGAATACTAAGGAGACTCGGGCAGCTTTACAAATCATTTGATGACCAAGTAGAGAACTCAGGTCCCTCAGTCCTCTGTATCATATCTTCCATCTCCTAGCATGGGTCAACCTGTGTAGGATAGTCAGTAAATGATTGGAAATATGAGACTGCACCCCAGTGGTGAGCAACTTAGGACTCTACACGCAAGCCAGCCAGCACTGAGAATGGTAAAGGATGCTCGTGTATAAGGAGGAGGGAACACATCCTCTAAGGACCATGCTGCACCTGGGAAACATCTGAAATTAGTAAACGGTGGGAGGAGGGAGGAAGAAGACCTAATAAACAGGTCTGTGAACTCTGGACCACACCTTCATGGACTGCTCATTTTCTGCCTCCATCCAAGATCCAACTGAACAAATAAGTTGGTTTTTTACTTATTTTTTAGGTCTATGCCATTCCACCATCAGCTTGTCGAGATGAAGCAGAGCTTAGGGAAAAGGAATATGATTTCCCTTCTCCAGTGAAACAAGATGGAAGGCCAGATACTAGACCTGAGGGGGTTTATGACATCCCTCCAACCAGCACCAAGGCAGCAGGGAAGGACCTTCACTCCAAATTCACCTGTGATGCCCCAGGAGCTGCAGAACCAATGGCACGAAGACATCAGAGCCTTTCTTTGCATCATCCTCCCTCTCAGCTGGGGCAGTCCGGGGGCACTCAGAGTGATGCATATGATGTGCCCCGAGGAGTTCAGTTTCTGGAGGCACCCACAGAAACCAGTGAAAAGGCAAATCCAGAGGAAAGAGATGGTGTTTACGATGTCCCTCTGCACAACCCAGCAGATGCCAAGGGCTCTCGGGATGTGGTAGATGGAATCAACCGACTGTCTTTCTCCAGCACTGGCAGTACCAGGAGTAACATGTCGACGTCTTCCACCTCCTCAAAGGAGTCCTCATTGTCAGCCTCCCCATCTCAGGACAAAAGGCTTCTACTGGACCCAGACACGGCCATTGAGAAGCTCTATCGGCTCCAGCAGACCCTGGAGATGGGTGTCTGCAGCCTCATGTCACTCGCCACCACAGACTGGCGGTGTTACGGATACATGGAGAGACACATCAATGAGATCCGCACTGCAGTGGATAAGGTGGAGCTGTTTTTACGAGAATACCTCCATTTTGCCAAGGGAGCTTTAGCCAATGCCGCCTGCCTCCCAGAACTGGTCCTCCACAACAAAATGAAGCGGGAACTCCAAAGAGTAGAAGACTCCCACCAGATTCTAAGTCAAACCAGCCATGATTTGAATGAGTGCAGCTGGTCCCTGAATGTCCTAGCTATCAATAAGCCCCAAAATAAATGTGATGATCTGGACCGGTTTGTGATGGTAGCCAAGACAGTACCAGATGATGCCAAGCAACTGACCACCACCATCAGCACCTATGCAGAGACTCTTTTTAGAGCAGCAGGTCCTGGCAGTTCCCATCTGAAGAATGGGCCCGACAGCATCATGAACTCAAGCGAGTACACGCATACGGGGCCCCAGATGCAGCCATTGCGCCCTGGTGACTACAAGGCCCAGGTCCACAATAAGCCATTGCCTCCCACTCTAGGCAAGGACCAACCACAAGACTGTAGTAGCAGTGATGGTTCCGAAAGGAGTTGGATGGATGATTATGATTATGTCCACCTACAGGTAAGGAAACCAGACCCATAAGCCACCCACACTCACATTCAGGGAGCCTAGGACAGATGTCCATAGGCTGGACAGCCGAAGGCAAGAACATGCTGAGTGCTAATCCGAGTGTTGTAGAAATTAAGGGTGAAGTTGTACAGGAATTGTGCAGTCACTGTATTTAGCCTCCCTGGGCCTTAATTTTATTTTGAGAATGCACTAACTCAAAGGGTTGTATTAAAGCTCACTGATGATATACCTCAGCAAGCTGAAGGAGACTCATCAATGGGAAGAGTAGGCCGACTAGTCATGCTATCATTTCTTCCTCTTCCTGTGCTTTGTGGCACAGTTCCATGAAACAGCCCATAGTAATAGAAATACGTTTTAAAACATATCACTGTTAAGAAAAAAACACTATTGAAAATATCTATACATACAGAGTCTCTGAGGAACTCTTGAGACCTACAGAGTGTGTGTGTGTGTGTGTGTGTGTGTGTGTCTGTCTGTCTGTCTGTCTGTCTGTCTTTCACTACTTACAAAAACACATAGCCCCATCAGATTTAGAAGACCTGTATTCATTTACCAATTGTCCGACAGCTTGACCTGCATATGTTAAACTCTGTAAACTGCTTCCTAGAAGTATAAATTTTCTCAATTGACGAAGGATCCTGAAAACTTTCCCATCTGCCTTGAAGAATTCACTCTACCATAATCTAGTACTTACTATTTGTTTAATGTCTTATTCTGCCATTCTCTTCCATTTGATTGAGAGCCATGAATTATGCTGAAAACTGTTTAGTATTGAAAGTGCTCAGGTGAAGGAGAGTAGAAAGGATCACCTGAGCTTCATCTCATGCTGAGGAATGGCCTAGGTTGGATGAAGGCATTTAACATTCAACTCTCCAGGATTCTGATGGTGTACCCTGGAGGATATTAAGTGTGGATGGGGAGATACAGGAGCTACAAAGAAATTGGAAGTGATGTGCAGCCATTTTTTTTAACCTTGGTTTGAAAGTGCATGAGTTCATATATAATCCATTACAAAAGAACCACGAAAAAATAAAGCCTCTTAAGAGATTTAAAGAGGATCATGGGAAGCCTTCCTGCTAGAAGGAGCAGCAACATGGCAGCCCACTTGGAAACAGGCTTTACTTTCCAAGCCTGTCTCCACACTAACTCTGGAAGACCTGTCAGTGGTTATAATGTCTAGCTGGACATGAGGGAAGTGGTCAGTGGATAATGAGAGTCTGAGTGCATTTGTCAATGAAGCTGTTCTAAGTGAGATAATACGGTCTTTGTTTTGAAAACAATAGGGCAAGGAGGAGTTCGAGAGACAGCAGAAGGAGCTCTTGGAGAAAGAGAACATCATCAAGCAAAGCAAGGCCCAGCTGGAGCATCATCAGGTAAGTTCAAACAAAACAACAGGCTCTTTGGTGGTGGAAAGGGCTCTACTTAATAAGGAGTGGGTAACTTCAAAAGGCTGGGGTCCTGCCAGCACGCTGGCATGAAGAAGTCCCAGGCGTATAATAAGACATAAGAACAAAGTGAAGCTTTGTGGTCTGTGACTTCAGCTGAGTATACCTGGATTTCATCCAAATGATGGGGTTATTTCAGGCTATACCTGTTAATATATAACACATTAGGACTACTTGGGCTAAAGCCTTGGATCTCAGGACAGAGTCCCACTCAGGTTGGTCCATGCCTGGTTTTCTCTTGAGGCCACGGTAAGGAAATCAGGAGAATGAAGATGGAGCCAAGACCAACAGGATCCAATGCTATCTTTTCTCCCTGTGTTTCTCTTGGTTCTCTTCCGGCATCTCTTTCATTCTCCTCTACTCTGACGTTTTCTCTAGTCACCTCCTCACTCAGGCCCCACCTAACTTTATAAAACACACAAATGGATGCTCTAAGCCCTTTCTATGGGGCTTTGTTTTATTATGTTATGCTTTGTGATAGGTAGGGTCTCACTATGTAGCCCAGGCTCACCTCAAACTTGATATTCTTGAGTATTGGGAGTGCAGGCTTGTGCCATTGTGCCGAGCTCCAAAGCACGGTGTTTCACATGGGATTCCTTAGTCAACAGCCTTCTGTGGTTATCAGATTCCTAAGATAGTTTGATTCTAACTCTCCCCTCCACCCCATCCCTCTACCTGCCTTTTTGCATGGTCCAGTCTAAAGGTCAAAGGGAATGATCCAACGTTTGTGAGACATGCCCAAGTCCATTTCCCTAGGGCTCTGAGCAGGGCACATTCGCTCTAAGGGTTAATGAGTACAGCAGGCAAGGATAGATATTTCTAAGTCAAGGACATGAAAACAAAGAGAAATGGACTAAAGATACACACTCTTTAAAGGTGAAATCGACAGTAGATGCTCTATCTCACAAGATCACAACATGAAGTGACAAGATACCTTTACAAAAACTTGAGTTCAGACCCTTGTTCATAGCCAATGGGTGTGTTCACTTGAGCATCATGTGATGGGCCAAAACTTCAGTTCCTTCTCTGTAAAATGGGAAAGTTCTGCCCTCTATGAACACATGATTTGAAATCAAACGCATTATTATCAGATAATGTTGGAACACCACCCCCTGTCTGCTGTGCTTTCATTTGCAATTAGACCCATAAGACAGCAGAGCTTGTGGGAACTGTCACACACTAAAGTCATTCCTAAGAAGCAAGTCAATTCTGTGCAATACAAAACTGACTATGCACTTCTTAGGGGGAAGTAGGATGTCATTGTCCCTGTGCTGACTCAGTTCTGAATCAAGGTGACAGATTGAGTCCTAAACTCGGGATTCTTAGTGAAATCGCTAGAAATTATCATTTCAGTCCAATTAGGGATGCAAAAGAGAGCATCAGAAAAAGGTGATGCCCAAGCCATTGAGATGGCTCAGGGTTGGGGACTTGCTGCCAAGCCTGATGACCTGAGTTTGATCCCCAGAAACCAGCTGCTGTGGATTGTCCTCTGACCAACATACAAATGCTATAAAATACAGTAAGCAATTAATGCTGGGATTTCCTCGTGTCCTTTCCCAAAATAGGTATGCAGTTGTAATACTAGCCAAGAGTAAAGAATCGTAATATGTACATCTTGACAGAGAGGGTAGGAGAAATAGAGAAGGTTCATGAATTTTCCATCTTGAGGAGAGAGGCAGGGCCTTTCCCAGGAAGTAGCAAATTTGTCAGTGGTGTGTTTGACAGAAAGGTCACTGCATCTGGTTTTCCCTTGCTTTCTCTCAGCCTGTAATTCACCAAACACTGTTTCCAGCACTTTGTGAAAAGTAGTAATTGGCTGATCCCTCATAATGACATAGAAGGTGAGGCTTGGGTTTGAACCCATTACCTTACCATCAGAATGCAAAAAAGGACAAATGGTGTCATCACAGGTCAGGGCTGGGGGACCCCTTAGAAATCCTCTTCCTGGGGTCTGTGTTATACAGTTTGGGAAGCACAGCCTGACCAAGGTCTCACAGATCCTAAGTACCTGGCATCTATTAAGGATGAAGCTGGTATCTTTTGAGTCCACACCCATGTCTCCCTCCCTTTACAACGCACGTCTTTTCCTTAACAGAACCTCTTATCTTTCTTCCAGCTGAGTCGGTTCCAGCTGCTGGAACAAGAGATCACCAAGCCCGTGGAGAATGACATCTCTAAATGGAAGCCCTCCCAGGCCCTCCCAACCACAAACAGCAGTGTGGGCGCTCAGGATAGGCAGTTACTATGCTTCTACTACGACCAGTGCGAGACCCATTTCATATCCCTCCTCAACGCCATCGACGCCCTCTTCAGCTGCGTTAGCTCAGCCCAGCCCCCACGGATCTTTGTGGCCCACAGCAAGTTTGTCATTCTTAGCGCACACAAACTGGTATTCATTGGGGACACTCTGACAAGGCAGGTGGCTTCCCAGGACATTCGAAATAAAGTCAGGAACTCCAGCAACCAGCTCTGTGAACAGCTCAAGACCATAGTGATGGCAACCAAGATGGCTGCCCTCCACTACCCCAGCACCACCGCCTTGCAGGAGATGGTGCATCAAGTAACAGACTTGTCCAGAAATGCTCAGCTGTTCAAGCGTTCCTTGCTGGAGATGGCCACCTTCTGAGAAGACAAGGACATGGAAGGGACTGTGTGAATAATTACTAAGGAGAACTGGAAATACAATCTGGTTTTTGTAAATGTTATCTATTTTTGTAGATATTTTATATGAAAATGAAATATTTTAACATTTTGTGAGTTAGTTGATTTTCATCAATTCAGGGAGCTGGAGTGGGAAATCTTTTTTTTTTCCCCTGTGTGGTTCTTATATATACATATAAGTATCTAAAACATAAGCTGTACAGTAATGTGTCCATGTTTGTCTATGCCTGTGTATCCATATTTGTAGATGTGTGTCTGATACATTCCATTGAAAACGAATCAAGAAGCACCTTAGTACGCGCCTCCAAATGCTGCACTGTTTGGGTTTTGTAGAAAATTATGCCAGTTGGTTGTAATATTGCTCTGCATGTACCAGTAGGGATCTGAGCCCAGCACACCCAAATCTGGAACTCAGTATATTTTGCCAAGTGTTCGCCTCCCACATAATAAGTCATGGTATGGGAAACCCTTTTTGCAAACTTGACTGTCTTTAACACGGTGGTAAAAGATTCCACTTTGGTTGTACACTCCAAGCTGAGGGGGGAGGAGGGAGAGAGAGTTTCAAAAAGGTATACATCAACCTAAATAACCTAAGGCCCAGTGTCTCTGGTGCTAGAGAGAGGCGAGTGAGGTTTATGTGCTGTACAAGAGACTGTGTCTACAGCCGTGCTTAAGCTGTTTCCACACAGACAGGAAGCTACAATAAAGAGGTCTACAAAAGCTAGTTCCAGGACAGCCTCTAAAACCACAGAGAGACCCTGTCTCAAAACACAAACGAGAGAGAACGAGAACACTTGTTTCCCTGGGGCTGCATTTGTGAGTGACTCAGCCACTAGGTTTTCTCAAGGGTGTTTTTAGAGTTGAATTAAAAAAAAAAAATTACAGTAGGAATTCATGAAGATAATAGAAGGCTGTAGCTGTGAACAAAAAGAAGGGATTAATGACCGTCAGTCATTAATGAGGGTCTCTCTGAGGGCTTTCTACCCCCGTTTTCCAAAGGAAAATGGCCAGCTCCTTCATCACTGAACTTCCTGCTGTCTCATTGCTTGGTGTATCCTGCGCACTTCTAAAAACTTACATATCAGCCTCAACACTCAAAACTGCTGAGATCTGATCTTCATATCTCCCTGTGGCCATGCACCTTGTGGGTAAGTCACATCACCGTGTGACAGCTAGTCACAGCATCAATCCTTCTGTGTGGGCCACAGCACAGGCGTTAGGGCCACCAGATTCACTGTGGGCAGATGAACTGTTCCCTGTTTCTTTATGACCAAGTCGAGAAATGTGATTCTTGTAGTCTCTGTCCATGGAAATCATTTCATTTTGGCCTATTTGGAGATGTGCTTTTATTTGTTATATATGTCTTGACTGAGTTAATGTTACTTGTTTTAAACAACCAAATTATAAATGCAGGGAGGAGCTTAGGAAGAATGTGTGTGAGTTCAGTGTGATTTTTTTCTTCTTTTAAATCAGTAGAAGTTTTCAAAGAGAAAATGGTGCTTTTTAAAACAAAACACAACTGCAGTTCTCAAAGTCCTGCACTGCCAGAAGATGAACAGCTGAGCTATTGGACCACAATTGACTGTATGTGAGGGAAGGGGGTCGTGCAGCATCAATACCACTGGATGAAGTCAGGAAGGGTATACTTGTAGTTCTTGCTATATACCATGTGTTGGGATAGGGCTGCCTTGTCCTAACAGGAGTGATGACATTCCACATTGCCAAAACCAAACTATTTGATTTGTATTGCCCGTTGTCATCTTGTATATACAAGCTATTAAATTTTTAGATCATTCTCTTCATGGCCACTGGGTTTCTTTTCCATGTGTCTGTCTTTATCACAGAATTAAGTATTGACTCATCTGGGCTCTCTGAGTATAGAAAGTCAAGCTGGTCTACAGACTCTATGTAGACCAGGCTGGCTTTGAAGTCACAGAGATCTGTCTGTCTGCCTCCTGAGTGCTGGTATTAAAGGTATGAACCACCACATCTGGCTACAGTACATGCACATTTAATGAGGGAAGGATGGTTTCTACTTCTATTCTGGTGTTAGGAGTTTTAGAGTCAATAGACATTGTTTTATTTATTCTGGAATAGGCACAGAGAAACGATCCAAAGCAAATTAGAAGAACAGAGTCCTAATCCCATGAATTCCTAACAACTGAGACATAGAAAGCATTTGAATACACCTGTGTATCAATTACTTCCCTTGTGATTGCCACAAAATGTCTTATATAAACAATGGAGGAGAGGTTTCTTTGAACTCATAGTTTAGAGGGTGAAGTCAGTCTGTCCATCCCAAAAGATCTGTTGGCTTGGTTCCTGGAAGTGGAAGCTTGTGCCGTGACTTGCTCAGTCTTGGTTGATCAAGAAGCAGATAAAGGGCTCACTCAGGCCGCAAGTGGGGCTAGTTCAGTACCTTCAAGGCCCATATCCACTCCAGGTACCATGTCTCAAAGCCTCCACAACCTACGTGCTGACAGTGTCCAAACAAGTGCGTCTGTGTGTGAAATTTCCAAGTCCAACCATAACACCTGTAGTTTTTTTGTTTATACATAAAGGCAGTAAATTATTTTTGACAAATATAAGATATTGCACCGAGGGATATGAAATGTTTTTGCAGAGAAGATAGTGCTAAATCAACCAAATCTCTCTATGAAGAAAAATATTAACCTTATACCCTGCACAGAAACAGAAAACTAAATGTAAAACTCTCAGACCTCTAGGGAAAATGTAGGAGAAAATCTTTTATGACCTTAAGCAGACAACAGTTTCATGAATAGATTTTTTTAAAGCTCATAAATATAATTGTTCATGTTCAAACTTAAAAAAAAATATTTACTCTTGAGACTGGAGCAATGGCTCAGCAGTTAAGAGCACTAAGATTTTCCAGAGGCCCTGGGTTTGGTTCACCCACATGGTTACTCATAACTGCCTGTAACACCAGTTCCAGTTCCAGAGGGGCCAATGCCCACTTTTGACCCCGTGTGTAATGTGTACTGCACTGCCATGATGCACTGATACATAGACAGGAAAAGCACCCAGCACATAAAATAAAAGTAAATAAAAATTTTTATGTTTCCTCTTCTAAAGAGACTGCTAAGAAGGTAAAACTAATTTTGGACATGATGTAGCTGTTGCTCTCATGAGCTCCCTGCAGCTACAGTGATCTACAAAAGACTAGGCCAAAAGATCAGTCGACATCACAACAGGCAGCACTAATTGGACAAGATGGTTAACAGAAACAAAACAGGAGAGGGTGTGAAGTGGGCATTGAGACATTTTAGGGGTACCTGAGATGGAGGAGTTTGGGGATATGATCAGAATACATTGTTTCCATGTATATGGTTGTCAAATAATACATAAAAGATGTTTTGCTTCAAAGAAAGATAGATGGATGTTTGGTTGGTTGGTTGGTTGGTTGGTTGGTTGGTTGGTTGGTTGGCTGGCTGGTTTGATGGTTGGGGCCAGCAACATGGCTTTGGCAGTGCTTGCTACCAAAGCCTACTGATCTGAGTTTGATGCCCAGAACCCATAGCAAAAGGAAAGCACTAACTCCAGGAAGCTTTTCCCCAACCTCCACACATTAATCTATACTCGCTCACACTCTCTCACACTCACACATTCACATCATTGACACCCACAATAATAAGTAAAATTTTAAAGAGAAAACAAAATTCAAGCCTCATTGCAGGCAGCGTGCTTATGTCACAAACATCAGCCACGGGTGTGCCCGGGACCAGAGGACCAATCATTTTAATGAGGAAAAAATCCCAAGCGGAAACTTCATCAAAGAAGAGATATACATGGGTGATAAATAAATGGAGGAAAACCCACACCAAATGCACTGATTGAAAAGACAAACTTGCAAATGTTGGTGAGGAAAGACGAGAACATCACTGGGTGAGAACGAGAAATGGCACAGACGCATTGGTGAGAATGAGAAATGGCACAGACGCATTGGTGAGAATGAGAAATGGCACAGACGCATTGGTGAGAATGAGAAATGGCACAGACGGACGCATGGGTGAGAATGAGAAATGGCACAGACGCATTGGTGAGAATGAGAAATGGCACAGACGCATTGGTGAGAATGAGAAATGGCACAGACGCATTGGTGAGAATGAGAAATGGCACAGACGCATTGGTGAGAATGAGAAATGGCACAGACGCATGGGTGAGAATGAGAAATGGCACAGACGCATTGGTGAGAATGAGAAATGGCACAGACGCATTGGTGAGAATGAGAAATGGCACAGACGCATTGGTGAGAATGAGAAATGGCACAGACGCATGGGTGAGAATGAGAAATGGCACAGACGGACGCATTGGTGAGAATGAGAAATGGCACAGACGCATTGGTGAGAATGAGAAATGGCACAGACGCATTGGTGAGAATGAGAAATGGCACAGACGCATGGGTGAGAATGAGAAATGGCACAGACGCATTGGTGAGAATGAGAAATGGCACAGACGCATTGGTGAGAATGAGAAATGGCACAGACGCATTGGTGAGAATGAGAAATGGCACAGACGCATGGGTGAGAATGAGAAATGGCACAGACGCATTGGTGAGAATGAGAAATGGCACAGACGCATTGGTGAGAATGAGAAATGGCACAGACGCATTGGTGAGAATGAGAAATGGCACAGACGCATTGGTGAGAATGAGAAATGGCACAGACGCATGGGTGAGAATGAGAAATGGCACAGACGCATGGGTGAGAATGAGAAATGGCACAGACGCATGGGTGAGTGAGAAATGGCACAGACGCATGGGTGAGAATGAGAAATGGCACAGACGCATGGGTGAGAATGAGAAATGGCACAGACGCATGGGTGGGAATGAGAAATGGCACAGACGCATGGGTGAGAATGAGAAATGGCACAGACGCATTGGTGAGAATGAGAAATGGCACAGACGGACGCATTGGTGAGAATGAGAAATGGCACAGACGCATTGGGAGACAGACAGACTGGCAAGCAGACACCGAGCTCTGCCTGCTGGATGACGCAGTAATCCCTTTCCTAAGTATTTACCCAAGAGACATTAAGTGCAAACATACAAAGACTTTTTGATAGCGTATTGCAGTTCTATGTGTAACAACAAAAGCTAGCAACAACCCGGGGATCTGTCTAGGTGAAGGCACAAAACTGTTCCTACCCTCCCACATTGGGTTTTTTCAAACACAACCCAAGCTAGAGTTATCTGAGCAGAGAAAATTCACAGCTGAGAAAATGCATCCAAAAGACTGACCTGCAGGCAAGTCTATGGGGTGTTTTCTTACTTAGTGATTGATGTGGCCACTCCTCCGTGGCTTCTGCTTCAGCTCTTACCTCCAAGTTTCTTCCTCTGGTTCCTGCTCTCACTTCCCTTCATGATAGACTACAACTGTAAGCATAAATAAGCCTTTTCCTCACCAGGTTGGTTTTGGTCATAGTGTTTTATCACATCAATAAAAACTCTACCTAAGGCAAATAACTACATGTGAAATTAAAAAAAAAAAAAAGTCAAAATTAAAACCCAACATGAACAAATTTCAAAATTACTATGAAAAAAAAAAAAAAATACCGCTTCTTCTACTTCAGGAAAACACCAAATGGCGGATGACGCCCGTGCAGCGAGAGGGCCCAGAGGACCCAGGGTCCCAGGATTAGGGGGCTGCGGCAGATTCCATGGAGGCTTCTACAGCAGTCTCAGGGGCTCGCGGTCGGTCATGGTGGAGGCTGTGGTCGAGGCCGTGGGGCTCGTGGAGGTAAAGCCAAAGACAAGGAATGGATTCCCGTCACCACGCTGGGCCGCCTGGTTAAGGACATGAAGATCAAGTCCCTGGAGAGCTATCTTTTCTCTCTTCCCATTAAGGAATCTGAGATTATTGACTTTCTCATGGGGGTATCTCTTTAGGATGAGGTTCTAAAGATCATGCCAGTACAGAAGCAGACTAGGGCTGGCCTGTGGACCAGGTTCAAGGCTTTTGTCGATATTGGGGACTACAACGGTCATGTTGGTCTTGGTGTTAAGTGCCCCAAGGAGGTCGCCACAGCTATCCGAGGGGCCATCATCTTGGCCAAGCTTTCCATTGTCTCTGTGAGGAGAGGCTACTGGGGGAACAAGATTGGCAAGCCCCACACTGTTCCATGCAAAGTGACAGGCCACTGTGGCTCTGTGTTGGTGCATCTCATCCCTGCCCCCAGAGGCACTGGCATCGTCTCTGCTCCTGTGACCAAGAAGCTACTGATGATGGCCGTATTGATGACTGCTACACATCAGCCAGGGTCCCCACTGCCACCCTGGGCAACTTTGCCAAGGCCACCTTTGATGCCATCTCTAAGACCTACAACTACATGACCTCTGGAAAGAGACTGTGTTCACCAAGTCTCCTTATCAGGAATTCACTGACCATCTTGTGAAAGCCCATTCCAGAGTCTCTGTTCAGAGGACCCAGGCTCCAGCTGTTGCTACCACATAAGGGGTTTTATACAAGAAAAATAAAGTGAATAAAGTCTGTTAAAAAAATACAAAAAAAAAAAAAACCCATAGTAAATGCTATGGTTCCACTTAAACAAGACTTTGGAAGCTACAAAAGCCAGGCCATGTTGTATTTCACGCCTGTAGTACAACACGTAACCAACACATAGAAGAGGACACAGGATGCAGATGTTTGAGGCCAGCCTGGCTAGATTTGAACAAATATAAACTGATGTATAATGACAAATATCAGTAGCCACTTGGGGAGAGAAGAGATGGGGGGTCTTAATTCCAAACAGGGCCAGGGGAATGCAAATGATGAAAAATGTCCATT